GAAGGAAGGAAGGAAGGAAGGAAGGAAGGAAGGAAGGAAGGAAGGAAAGAAAAGAGAAAACCAGTTTCCCTTAACTGACAATGGCTGTATCTACCTCTCCTTTTCATCTGATGCTCTTGTGTTTATCTAATTTCATCTTCTTGATGTTTTCTTCAATTCATCCTTGAGGAAACACCAACTAAAAGTTTAAAATCCCAAAGCAGATTCATCCCGAAATACTGACTCTTCTGTTTTTCTTTCATAGGTTTGATTTTCTCTGCTGTTCTTCTTTCTAAAACTGACTTAGGCTTTTCGTGTGTTTCTTCTTTCAATTCATTTTTAATTTTTGCACACAAAACAACGAAGCTTTCCTGCACCAACAATGACCATATCAAACTCTCCTTTTTTTCATTGGATTCTCCTGTCTTTATCTAAACCCATAATGTTTTCTTCAAATCATCCTTTGGTAAACTAAAAGTTTAAAATCCAAGAATTGACTCATCCCAAAGCATTTCCTCTTCTGTCCTTTCTTCAACAGATTTTCTTTTCTCTTTCCTGTGCTTACGTTCTTCTTTTTCAGAGGATATATCACGGCTTTTTTTTTTTTTTCGATGCTTAAGTTTTCCTGAACTGACCCTGACTTTATCCTCTTCTCGTTTACTTTGTTGGATGCTCTTGTCTTCGCCTAAATCCATATCCTCATGACTCTTTTTCTTTTTATGCTTGGACTGCTCCTTCTCTTGCCTTTCTTCACCTTCCTCAAGGTGTCGTCTTCTCTTCTGGTGTCGCCGTTTATGAGCTGCTTGATGGTCACTGGTGTTGTTTTCTGAGGAAAGGTGCTTATAAATTTCACATTCTACACTATATGGACCAGAGTTATTTTCTTGCTGACTAAGGCTCAGAGGTACTGGTTTTTCTGAGAAATAGTCTCTGGGAAGTTGACAGTACTTTACAGAGTCTAGTCTCTGTTTGCTGTCATAAGCTGGTAAGCAATGAGGTAACTGGTTTTCTACTGTTTGTGAACCTTTGTATGGTCCTGTATAGGTCTGGAAAGTCTCAAATGGGAGTCTTTGCTCAAACATTCTGTATCTTGTTCTGCTATCAACCATTTCTCTGTGCCTATGAGTTTCCACAGAGCTATCAACTATCTTTCTGAAACAAGTCTTTGGCTCTAATCCTCTGGCTTTCTGCACTTTGATGTAATCATCAAGTTCATCTTGGAAAGAGTCATATGTTCTCTTTGAATGAGCTGGTAACCAATGAGGTAACTGGCCTTCCACTGGTGAACTACTGTATGATTGGTGGTAAGTATGGGAAGTCTCAAAAGAAAATCTTTGCTCACACATTCTTTGTCTGGGTCCAGAATCAACCATTTCTCTATACCCTCGGTTCACAGAGTTTTCTCTCATCTTTCTAAAACAAGTGTTTGGATCTAGTCCTCTAGCTTTTTGCACTTTGATGTAATCTTCAAGTTCATCTTTGAAAGAGTCTTGTGTCTTCTTTGAATGAGCTGGTAAGCAATGCGGTAACTGGTTTTCCACTGCTTGTGAATTATTGTATGGTCCTGGGTATGTCTGAAAAGTCTCAAATGGAAGTCTTTCTTCATACATTTTAGGTCTGGGTCTGGAATCAACCATTTCTCTATACCCAAGGCTTTCCAAATAATTCTCTTCCATCTTTCTGAAACAAGTCCTATACTCTAGTTCTCTCGTTTTCTGCATTTTGATATAATCTGCACATTCAACTTGGCAAGAATTTTGTGTATTTGAATTCTTTACTAGATTGATAACAAGGGATTCTCTGCAAAAAGGACAGAAAGTTCTTGTTACAAGAATATTTTATTCTGAATATTTTCTTTGCTCTCAAAATAAAAAAAATCCAAATAAAATTTTAAAATCAACCTCAGGTTAAAAGCTATAAAGAATTACTTTTCATGGTAAAAAGATACAGTGGGAATAATCAGATATCTCCCAGGAATCTCACAATTTTTGTTTTTAAGAAAACTTTCTCTGGCTGGGATTAAAGGGAGGAGCATATATATCAGATGCTGATGTACTAAAAACCTAAGACATGTTTGGATGTGTGAGTAAGGGCCATTAATATTTAATGCTCTAATAAATGGTATGAACTGAATGTTAGAATGATATGTGTTTTGATTAACCAGTTCCTTGGATAGATCTACAAATGTGGCAAGTATTCTGGAACCCTGAATTTCTTTTTAACATGTCTAAATGTAGGTTAATTTTGGCAAGTCAGACAATTTAGGTCCTAAATATTCATCTATAATAAAGTAAGAGAAATGTTATATTTGATTTTTTAAAAATAAGCCAATTATATAACAATTAAATATCCCTCTGTTGTATTACCTAAATTACCCACTCCTCAATTGTACATTCAATTAAAATCTCCTTAAAATAACTGTTAACTAAGCATTTATTGAGCTCCACCTATGTTCAAGTCAGGTATATTATATTTCATTTTTAACAATCTTATATAAGAGTTCTTCACAATTATACACTTTATAAAAGATGGATCTGGTATTCTGATCCAGGTCTGTCTAACAGCAAAACCTTTGTTCTTAACCACTACACCTCACTGAATGTTGACTGGATCATTGAAACCGTGGAACTAAGCCAAGCTTCTAGAAATGCTTTGAATTTGTATGGTTAGCCTGAGAATGATTCCTTAGCATCTCTCTAAAAAATATAATGCTCTCTGGTCAGGAGGGATATCAAAGAGCCAGCTCTTCCAGCACACTATCATGACACAAGAACACCTTTGGGGACACTAGTGTACAATGTTACTAATACTGTTAACCATATCCAGTTCAACTCATAAGGAAATGAATGCCCAGAGAAGTTTTGTAAAATATATGTTTGGTGTCAGGAACATTTTATCAAAAAAACAACTTACTTAATTTGATGTTCACTCCCTTGCATGTGGGACCGGAACATATCTAAAGATGTAAAGGTTATACTACAAATATGGCAAATGTAGGTTCTCATATTAAATGCTGAAAAAAATAGAAAGTTCAAGTTAAGAAGGTTAGTGTGGATACACTTAGAATCATTTGATATTAGGACTGGAGAAGAATTTATTAGAGATGATCTACTTGAAATTTCCCAATTAGGACTGGGCCCAGAATGGCAAAATGACTTAGTCAAAGTCACAGAGCCATTTAGTAGTAGTGAGCCTTTGTGCCCATGTTTCTTAATTTAATCCCCAGAATTCTTTGCACTATACCACACTGTTTCTGTAGCCTTGATTTATTCCCTAAAAATCTGGTATCTGCTTGCTTACTGTTGCTACATGATGGTGTGGCAGGCACCTCAAATTTAGTGTGCTTGCACAACTTTTGACTCTTTGTCCCTTGACAAACCTCTTTTTGTTTGCCACTAATTCTTTTCCACCCAACCAAAGTCTGAAATGTCCCAAAAGATTAAAGACAAACAAAAGCAAATTTTTACACTCTTACCTGAAATCACTGTAGTGCATTAGCTACCAAAAGTAATTTCCACATATTTTAGAAAGGAGAGAGGTTCAGTGAGCCCCACTCATAGGATTAAAGCTGAAAGCAAAATTCTAAAACAAAACTGCTAGTTACCATTTTAAAAGAGTCAAAAACTATAAAATAGGAAATGTCCAACAACTACCTTAATAGTTTGCTTCTTGGATAGAAGTGGAGGAAAAAATTATTTTCATTGTCTTACTCTCACCATCCTTCTACTTTATCTTTGGTCAGAAGAAGCAAATTAATCAATTTCCTAAGTCAAATATAAAAACAATCCCACACTAGGAAATGAGGCAATAAATTGGTGCTGTAGAGATATTAAGGACAACTAAGGTCACCCTCTTGTATATCAAACAATAAGCTAATCATGGAAAGGAAGCTAAAATAATCATTATGAAGTGTATCTGTTTTGTCTGAGTGAAGATTATTCACAGAAATAAAAGACTACTGTCAAGTGGAAAGAAAGATGCTGACTTTGAAGACATGAGACTCTGTTCACTATTAAGATATACTCAGTGTGATACCAGAAGAGCTCAGCAGGTCATGTAAAAATTTGAATGAATGATTCCCAAATTTGTCCTCCTATCCCTGTATTCTGATTTCATGCTCACCATGTCACTCTCTGTTTATAATTTTTCCCATATTTTTTGATACCAAGAAAAGTACAATCTAGATGACAAACATAAAAACTGGGCATTGGGGTCATATAAATGTGTGTGTGTGTGTGTGTGTATATATATATATATATATA